GGCGATTGATTTTGATTGATTCGCCAACATATCGAATGACGCTGCTTTGTTAATTTGCATCAATTTCGGACGTCTAATTTGATTTGATTAATGTGATTAATGTGACCACTCGCTAGATTTTCCACTCTGCGCAAAAGGGTTGACCCAGCCCCAGCTTCATCAGGTGCTGCTGGGGACAAAAAAATTTGAACAAAAAACGAGTGCCAACTGATGGCTGATGGGTTTGTCAGTTGGCATCAAAGCGTATTAGTTTGTATGGCGCCCAAATTGGTAGGGCGGCAGGCACTTTGCAAACACACCTCTCTCAAACATATCAGCGCCCAAATCTGCCAGGTGCTCCATTTTTGGCCAACACACACACAGGCACACACAGAGAGATAGGGACCGCGTGCAAAAGGCGAGAGCCAAACAATACAAAAAGGACCAAAAGTGGGCTAACTCTGAGTGCAAAGCTGCCGAAAAAAAACAACACAAAACTGGAGAAAACACGGTGGAAAAACAGAGAAGGCTGAGGACAGCGAAAGAGTGAGAGAGCAGCCTTGCAGCCTTTGGGCCCATTGCAAAGCCAGTCAGCCCTTCGAGGGCAGCAGGCGAGGGGCCCGGAACGAGGTGCGGATTGGATGGGGGCACTTATGTGATAGCTCCCGCTTTGACGGCGGCACCTTTTGTCTATCCATGTGTTTGGGCCCAATCACAGCACAAAAGGCCGGAAGAGAAAGCCAAGTCTTTTCGGCCCTGCACGGGGAGAAAATGTATTAAGTGTAACTTTAATTTTGCTTTCCTGAAAAATGTATACTAAAGAAAGGAGAAATAAAATAAGTTATAGGAAGAAAGTCTTATGAATTTTTCCCTTTGTTTTATAAACAAATTTATATGCAAATAGTAGTGAAAAGAATATTTCTTGGTGGATGCCACATGCTTTCTTTTTCTTTTATTTACTGTTTGTCGCCTGTCGCTTGTTTTATCTGCTGCCTTCAGCCACAGGCGACGGCATCTCAACTTTGACATATGACAAGAGGAATCTCCAGCGGCGAGAAGAGCCTTCGTGGAGGGAAAGTGAAAGCCTTGGAGTTTCCGTTTCCATGTCCCACGACTTCTAATCACTGCCAGTCGGCTCATTAGACCGGCGGAGGAGTCGGCTTAATTACAGTTCCTGGAAAACCTCAATTTAAGATGTTGCCAGGACAGCTGCCGGTGACCACTTTCCAATGCCTAATTGGGATTTAAGGGCGCGCTGGCAAATAATTTCCATTTAATCGCCGCGCGAAACTTTAACCTAATTGTTAAATCAATGAAACCGAAATCCAAATACAATGCACTAATTACAAAAGTTGAGCGCGGCGCTAATTAGAGGACAAGGAAATCGATACGGAAACTTATTTTTCGAGGCAGCCTGGGAGGCCACCACATGCCCGGGCATTAAGTGTGCAAATTCCCCGACTCTGTCGAGGGCTTTTCAATCAGGAGCCCAGCCTCAGACTGGGTCTCAGTTGCAGACTCCGTTTGTATTTCAGTCAAATCAAGGCGATATCCTCTCGCAAACAGGAGAGCAAAACAAAAGCCAAACACAAACACGAGTGCAAAATAAAATCGATTCCGCCGGCAGCAGCAGCAGAAGAGTGCTGGCAACAAATAAAATAAACGACACATGACAGGGAAACGGAAAATGCGAAATGCGAAATACGAGCTGGGAAACAAACAGACACAAATAGATAGACAGACGCGCCAGAGACAGACAAGGCCAATAAAAAACACAAACAGCTGGAGAAAGGGATGGCGGAGGAGGGGGTGAGCAAAACTAGGAACACGTTAAGTTGCAAGATATCCAGGCCAAGACAGGCGAAAGAGTCAAAGTCACTGCCAGATATTGCGTTAAGACGACACCTCACTTTCACATTTTTCCAACTTTTTCTTATTCTGTAAACAGGAAGAAATTTAGAAGCTCAAGTTCTGTTTTAAGGACCATTTAAAAGTTTCAACAAATTAAAAATATTTCAAGATTTAATTAACTATATGGCTTATATTTGTTTTTGAATATTTTGTAACATGCTAAAGAAACCATCAACTATATTTTACTATATTATAGGGGTGTTATAGTTCTTTATTTTATTTTCACACACCAGAATATGCTACAATATTAAATAACTTACATTAGTTATCCGAAATTGAATTCCATAAAAATTATACATTTCTCTTAGTTTCTCAGTGTATCTTTTCTCGCTTCCTAAGCCTGAAGCAGAAATAAAACGTCATGTAATTTATTTATTACCGATTGCAGATAAGCGAGCCAAGGCTACTTACAGAATGTATTAACTAATTGCTTCCCGTCAAGGTCGTTTCGTGTTGGCTACCGAAATCCCCCAAAACCTCCCCCTGAAAAATCAGATTCTCGAGGGCATCGACTGGCAGCTAGCTGCCTCTGTCTCCGTTTCTGATAAATGAGAATATTTCCCTTCCAGTAGAAAAAAAAAACACAACAAACTTGGTCGAAACCAAAATCATTCTGGGACTTTTGCGGCTGATTATCTTCTGGCTGAACAGGACTAATGACCATGGAAAGTGTGAGCAACTGAGTGACGAACTTAAATATTAATTTATTGTTTTGGCATGGGTCTTTAATGGTTAATTTTGTGGGTAGATTTTGATTTACTAGACTTGAAATAGATAAAAACCTAGGAAATTAACCAAAAGGTTTGAAGGAAGCCCTTGTTTCGTATTCTTATAATTATTTTTAGAATAATAATAACGAAAGCCAGACAGATTTAAAAGGTACCCGCCCACGAATATTTATTCAATGTATTTTTAAGATAACAAAAATTGTATGCATCACTGTTTCCGGTTGAGTTAAAAGCCAGTTAGATTGTGCTCCTGTCCCCCAGGACAACCGTCAAAGTGCAGGGACATATTGAAATTTGATGGCGGCAGTGCACCGTTCGCAGTGTCCCTGGCGGCATTAATTTTATCAAAGTCTCTGGATGGCTCGTTGTGTGGGTGGGTGTGTGGCAAGGAAAATTTGATCCGTTGCAACAGGACCGTGTTACAAAGGCTCCTGCACCCGGGTGTGCGTGTGTGTGTCAGCCCAAAGGTAAACAGCGGAGCACGAGCCTGCGTCTGAGCTGAGTTCGCCGGGTATTATAAATCAAAGGCAGGTGGCTGCCAGGACTGCCAGGACCGTCGCCACGCCCACCAAACACTGGCAGCAGGCAGCATCCTTTTAATTTTGCCTACGTGAAATTAGTTGCGTAAATCCCAACACGAGAACGCACTCGACAGCAACAAATTAGGCAAAAAGCTTATGTAAGAGGGGAATAAAAATGAAGGCAGCTGGTAAACTATGCGCTTAATAGTGAGAAGCGTGTGCAATAAAGCCACGGCTCGGGAGGGAGCCGGGAGCTGGGACTGAGACAGGCCACCACTCACATGTGTGGGCCGGGGGCCCGTCTTTGGGGAAATTAAAGCGTGGCAAAAAGTGCCAGGCTTCATGTTAATTTTCATTAAAATTATATTAACTTGTAACGTGGCTGCTGCCTCGTGAAAGAGATAGCTGTGCACACGGCGAGCGAGACGGGCATATACATACATACACACATGGGCGAGTGCTACCAGGCGACTAATTTTTAGTGTCCTTGCGAGTTTATCAAGGGAATGGGGTTCTGTAAAAGAGAAAAGAGGGAACGAAAGGCGAGTTCAGGTCCTGCGGGACACTTAAAATATTTAAATGCGCAAAATAATAAATTAGGACATTTTTGTGGCCCGCTCTCCTCCGCCTAAAAATAAAAAACACGAAACACGGACACAATGTGCTGGCTGCCAGGGGGTTGGGGGTTAGGGCTTCTCCAATGCTCTTTCAGGGGTAAGGCCGAAAGATTTGGCGGCTGGAGAGTTGCCCCAAGACCTTGCCCATGTCGGTGTCCGTGTCCGGGGTCTGACACTCAACATGACAGCATGGTGCGAGGTTGGCACAGGATCCCAGGTCTGAACTGGGTCACTGCTCGGTGGCAAAGCAGCAAAGAACTGGGCTAAGCGAAGGCAAAACCAGCTGAATAATAAAGGATAAAGGATAATAAATGAAAGTTGTAATAAGCAGAAATGCAAATAGTGCAGGTAAAAAGCGTTTTACAACTTTTAATAGGTAATAAGCCATTAGATTTCCAATGGCAATTTAAATAAAGCTAGTTTACGAAAATATTCCCTTGAGCCCAAATATGTAGCAAGCAGCCACACTAACCGATTGTAGCAAGCAGCCACACTAACCGATGTAGCAAACAGTCACACTACCCTATACACTTACACACCTATTGTACATACACGGCTGGATTATACGATAGTTATAAGCACAATAGATACATCTCGCTCTCACATGAAGATCGTGCTTAGGAACACTACTCTGTATGTCCCTTTCGCACGATCGTCAACTGACACACCAATACATACATGTAATAGGCTAAGCATAGAATGGAAGAATGAATAAAGAACACTTCGTTTGTGACCACCGAAAAGACAAGAACGTGCCTTCCTACAATTCAGAAGTGGGATAACTGAGAATAAATTTTTCTCAGACGCTCAACCTACAAAGTGAATAAAACATTAAAAATAAACAGTGGTGTTACAAACAACAACGGAAAATGGAAACCATCGGTGCAGACGACTACACGGTGGCGGAACTACGCAATTGGCTGGGAAGGCTCAACATGCCGAAAAGTGGAAACAAGGCAACGCTTGCGGCGAGGCTCAATGGAGTGCCCCCCGAAGCGCGAGGAGTTTGCCCGGCGATGGAGGAAAACGACGCTGGTAGTAGCGGTTTGGAGCACGAGGACGCCGGATCGGCGGCGCCAGACAGCGGCGTTGAAACCGTGAGCAACATGATCGAACACGAGGCTGGAGCGGCGGCGCCAGGCAACGGCGTTATAACCGTGAGCGACATGATCGAACACGAGGCTGGAGCGGCTTCCCCCAGTGGCTGAGGGAAGCGTGCATGTTCGCGATGACGCCGGGCCTTCGAAGTTCAACAGCCGGGGCAGTCGGGAGCCGGCAAACGAGGTTTCGACGCAATTGGATGCCCTAAAGCGTCAACTCGAGTTAGTCCAATTGGAAAACGAGATTCTGAGAATGGAATTTGCTCAGCGTCATAACAGTGCTGCCACACCGAACCAGAACAGTGCTGCCACACCGAACCAGAACTGTGCTGCCACACCGAATCAGAACGGTGCTGCCACACCGAATCAGAACGGTGCTGCCACACCGAATCAGAACAATGTATCCACACCAGATCGAAACGTCGCTGGCGGAGACGCCAGATCGGAGGGGACACCAGTAAACAACAATTCTTTGCTGGCCATGGCCAGAGAAATGCTCCCAACATACGACGGCGCCGCTAACAACAAACTGCCTGTCAGCACCTGGATCGCACAACTTAATGCTATCACGAAAATGTACAAGCTGAGCGATGACGTGATCCGCATGTTAGTAATGTCGAAACTAAAGGACCGCGCTCAAGTTTGGTTGCACTCGTCTGAAAGTTTGCTGACCTTGCCGATTCATGAACTACTACGACAGATTGATGAGGCTTTCAATAGCAAGGAGAGCAAGATAATGTCTCGACGCAAATTTCAAGGGCGCAAGTGGAATCCGTCTGAAGATTTTTCCACATACTTCAAGGAAAAAACCCTTCTAGCCACACACATCCAAATGGACGACGAAGAGCTAATCGACAGCATCATAGAGGGGATTCCCGACACTCTTCTGCGACAGCAAGCACACATGCATTGCTTTAACTCGTCTGCACAGCTGTTGCAGGCGTTTGCGAAGGTTGCTTTACGTAAGCCACCACTGTTTTCGTCAGGACGAGCTAAAGTTTCGGCCGGGGATGGACCTACTTCGGCCCCTCCAAAAAGGTGCTTCAACTGCAACTCCATTGGACACTTCGCTGCTGACTGCCGCAAACCCAAGCGTGAGCACGGAGCCTGCTACGCATGTGGCAGTATGGATCACCAGGTGCACCACTGCACTGAGAAGAAGTTCGTGCCCAGCAATGAATATGTAAGACCGTTTAAGATTTATTTTGGTTCAGAACCTGATCAATTTTTGTTTTTAGAATGCCTAATCGATTCTGGGAGTCCAATTAGTTTCATCAAGATGTCATACGTGGAAAACATACTAGAAAAGCAAAATATCAAGTCAAATGAAAAGATTCTCACAAATTACGTTGGCTTAAACGGTAGCCCCTTAGATATAATCGGAAAAATATCATGTTTTGTTATTATCAATAAAGAAATGCTTAATTTTGAGTTACTAATTGTGGCGAACAAATCGATGGCATATGGAACAGTTTTGGGACGAGATTTCATGAGCATTTGTAACTTTAAGATTGTGAGAGAAAATGATAGTTCAAATGATAGTTATGCTAAAAATGATAGTTCAAATGATAGTTATGCTAAAAATGATAGTTCAAATGATAGTTATGCTAAAAATGATAGTTCAAATGATAGTTATGCTGAAAATGATTGTTCAAATGATAGATATGCGAAAAATTATTGTCCAAATTACAGAAATTTAGAAAATGATTGTTCAAATAAAAAAAGTGGCGAAGACGATAGGTCAAAATGTAATGATAACAAATTTAAGGATACGAACAATGTCAAGTCGATACAAAATACAGTAAAGTCACAGTATGATGAACAAAGTCGTGAAAAGGGAAGCAAAATGAATAGTCAATATGATAACAGTTTTGAATCAGAAATGTTATTAATAGAATATCCCGAGGCAACTGAATGCAGCCAGCTGAACATAAATGAGAATTGCGGTGTGAATTTAAGAAGCAGAATGATAACTATTTTTGAACAATTTTATGTAAAAGCGAAACGTCCAGTACTCCCATCAATAAAATGGGAAATGAAACTTAATTTTGAAAAAACTAAACCGTTCAACTACCCTCCGAGACGTCTATCGTTTGCGGAGAAAAGCCAAGTTCAAGAGTTATTAGACGATTATATAAAAGATGGTATTATACGTGCAAGCGAGTCTGAATATGCGTCACCAATTGTTCTAGTTAAGAAAAAGTCAGGAGAGTTAAGAATGTGCGTTGATTATCGCACACTTAACAAAAATATGCTAAAAGACAACTACCCCACCCCCCTCATAGACGATCTAATTGATAAACTTTCTGAAAAAGTCCTTTTTACGAAGCTAGATCTTAGAAACGGATTCTTTCATGTGCACATGCATGAGGATTCGGTCAAATACACCGCGTTCACTACGCCAATGGGACAATACGAATGGCTTAGAATGCCGTTTGGGCTAAGAAACGCCCCCGCAGTCTTTCAAAGATTTGTAAATAGAATTTTTGCTGATTTGGTTAGAGAGGACAAAGTTCTCATTTACATGGACGATATTTTGATAGCAACAAAAGATAGTAAGAGTCATTTAGAAATATTAACAGAGGTGTTTAAGCGATTAGTAGATAACAAGCTAGAGCTAAGAATAGACAAATGTGAATTCCTTCAAAGTGAAGTAAAGTATTTAGGATATATTATATCAGGAGGTGGCATTAAACCAGATTCAAAGGGTATGCAAGCAGTTAAAGATTTTCCTGTGCCAACCAAAACGCATGAAGTTCAGAGCTTTCTTGGATTGTGTTCTTATTTTAGAAGATTCGTTAAAGATTTTTCGACGAAAGCAAAACCGTTATACGATCTTATACGAAAAGATAGAAAATTTGATTTCGGTGCGACAGAGTTAGAATGTTTTGAAACATTAAAAACAAATCTTCTAGAAGCCCCAATTTTGGCATTGTACAGTCCGACAGATCCAACGGAATTACACTGTGACGCTAGTGCTTTAGGGTTTGGTTCAATTCTTATGCAGAAAAAGAAAGATAATAAGTTTCATCCAGTAATTTACTTTTCCAAACGAACGACCGATATTGAAGCGAAATATCATAGTTTCGAATTAGAAACCCTTGCGGTGATTTACTCCTTGCAACGTTTTAGGATCTACCTTCAAGGAATAGAGTTCAAAATAGTCACAGATTGTAGCGCTTTTACCCTAGCATTAAACAAGAAAGAACTAAGTCCAAGGATAGCCAGATGGGCGCTTTTTCTGCAAGATTACGATTATGTTCTAGAACATAGAGCCGGTAAGCGCATGCAGCACGTGGATGCACTTAGTAGAAACACACACATACTGACAATAGATTCTAACTCATTTGAGGAAAATTTAATTATTTGCCAAAGCAGAGACGAAAAAATCAAACCTATAGCTGAGCAGCTTCAACGGACAGAACTCAAAGATTACGAAATGCGGAACGGAATAGTTTATCGAAAGAAAGATAAAGGAGCACTTTTGTTTTACGTACCAAGCGAAATGGAAAGCCATGTTTTGTTTAATTATCATGATCAGTTAGGACACGTTGGCATAGACAAAATGGTAGAAGTTATTTCAAAAAGCTACTGGTTTCCTAAAGTTAGAGATAAATGCAAGTTACACATTAGCAACTGTCTAAAATGCATTGCATACTCTGAGAAGTCTGGGAAGGAAGAGGGATTCCTTCATAATATTCCTAAAGTTAACATTCCATTTGATGTCGTACATATAGATCATTATGGTCCTGTTGATAAAAGTAGATCGAACAAACACGTATTAGTGATAATAGACGCGTTCACAAAGTTCGTAAGACTCTATCCGGCAAAAACAACGAAATCTAGGGAAGCAATAGTAGCGTTGAAAGACTACTTTAGGGCTTACAGTAGGCCGAAATGTATCATTTCAGACCGCGGTACGTGTTTTACCTCTAAAGAATTTCAGGACTTCTTGGAGGAATGCGAAGTAAAGCACATTAAGATAGCTACCGGATCCCCACAGGCTAACGGTCAAGTAGAAAGGGTGAATAGAAGCATAGGTCCCATGATCGCTAAGTTGACGGAACCAGACAAAGGATTGTACTGGGACACAGTTTTAGAAACAGTTGAATACGCTTTAAACAATACAATGCAAAGATCAATTAATCAGCACCCAAGTAAAGTTTTGTTCGGAGTATCTCAAAAAGGCAGAGTTATAGATAGTTTGAAAGAAAGGTTAGAAGAAATAAATAAAAATAGCGAAGATATAAATCTGAATAAAATTAGAGATAAAGCTAGTGAAAACATCGAGAAGTTGCAAGAATACAATAAATTACGAACAGACTCGAAAAGAAAAGACCCCTGTAAATATGAAAAAGAAGATTTGGTGATGATAAAGAATTTCGACTCGCATGTAGGCGTTTCTAAAAAACTAATTCCTAAGTTCAAAGGTCCGTATAGAATAACGAAAGTTTTGCGGAATGATAGATACGTCGTGGAGGATGTTGAAGGTTTCCAACAGTCCAGACTTCCTTATAAAGGAGTTTGGGCTGTAGCAAATATGCGCCCGTGGATAAGCAAAAGTCAAAGTTAACGTTAAGAGATCAGGAGCTCTCCGGTCAGGATGGCCGATTGTAGCAAGCAGCCACACTAACCGATTGTAGCAAGCAGCCACACTAACCGATGTAGCAAACAGTCACACTACCCTATACACTTACACACCTATTGTACATACACGGCTGGATTATACGATAGTTATAAGCACAATAGATACATCTCGCTCTCACATGAAGATCGTGCTTAGGAACACTACTCTGTATGTCCCTTTCGCACGATCGTCAACTGACACACCAATACATACATGTAATAGGCTAAGCATAGAATGGAAGAATGAATAAAGAACACTTCGTTTGTGACCACCGAAAAGACAAGAACGTGCCTTCCTACAAATACTTACAATGTATTTATACGAAAATAAATTAATAATTTAACAACTTAAAGGACTTTTTTAATGGTAAAATGAACTCATTATTTCTGTGCATTTATTTTCATTTGTATTTCGCATTTCTCATTATAATAAACTCGTCAATTATAAAATCGTTTTTTCATGAAAATATCGATGATAAATTATGAAAAATGGTTCTTACTTCTTTAAACATGACAGATAATGGCTTAAATTACGTATAAATGTATTTCTTAAATAAAGTTAATGGGAATTATTAATAATGGGGTGAATTTTTATATGACTTTTATAACTCTAAGATCAATTATAATAATAATGTAACTTTTTTTAATCTCCTTTTGCATTTAAAAGATGGAACTATAAAGTAAGAACACCACAGCCGCAGGCCATAACTTATATAATTCCTATACCCACACCTTGATGGCTATAACGCCAGCCATAACCTCTTTGTCGCTCTTTGGCCAACACAAACATTCGTCTAAACATTTATTTACACTTGAAGTGGGCCAAAGTTTGGCCCAGCACGTCGGCCACATCTGTCATTATTGTAATTGTCAAGTGTGCCGACTCACACACACCCACAATGCAGAGACAAGGATGTTCGGGGGCCTCCTATTGACGCTGAGATATATAAACCATTATGAGTTGCTCTCGGCCATAATAATGTCGATGTGAATGGGAACGAGAATGTGAATGCGAATGTGAATGCGAATGCGTCTGCGAATGCGGAGCGGGAAATGTCTAGGTGTGTGCTTTACGAGTCGGTTGGCGGCAGTTGGCCATTTATTATGTTGCCACATAAACAATATTTTATTTAACATCATTACCAGGGCGGCTATAGCGCGTGGGATGTGTGTGTGTGGGTATGTGCTGGCGGGACTATAAAAATTGTCAGCTTTTGTGGCTGCTGCTGCTGCGTCTCGGTCTTTTACTTGGCCGGGACCACATAGCTCTGTGAATTATTTCACGCTTTGCTTTATTATAAAACACTTTTATGTCTTCATATAACCCAAACATTTTGAGTGCCGCGCACACTCTCACACTCGCAGACATCCCGTTTCCGTTTCCGTTTGGCATTGTTTCGAGGCGAGCTTTTCATTGCACATCCCACTTGAGCTGTAAACATAAATTTGACGCCGCTACGAAATATCAAAAGTATTTCGAAAGTATCGCATTCCCGCCTCGCGTGACAATAAAGCGCATCATAATAACAATAAGTGAAGGTTCTGCTTTAAAGGACCTTTTCCGCCGAAGGCCTAGAAGTCACACAAACACCCTCAGACACACACACACACATGTCAGCTGTAAAAATTCGCTTCAGTTAATTAAAACAAAACATTTTCAATTACAAACGCGCTGGCAGGGCTGGCAGTGGGCTGGGAAATGGCTGGCGGCGACTGCAGCTGTTGTTGCATAGACACACACACACGCACACCTATAAAGCCACTCTGCTATAAGGCGGCTACACAAAATGCAGCATACTTATGTGGGCAACAT